GGGAGACAAATCCGCAGGGCTGATGTCGTGTGTCTTGACGGCGTTGAGATACTGCGCTTCGCTCACGGAGAAATTGACATAGACCGGCGCCAGGCGGATCAACTTGGCCAGTGCATTCGTGCTCGGACCGACCAGTTCACCGACACTATAGGTGCTTTTGCCGATCTGGCCGGGGAAAGGTGCTGAAATGTCGGTGTAGCTCAGGTTCAGTTCTGCTTGCTGCAAACCTGACTGGGCTGCTTCCACGGAAGCTTCCGCCTGTTGTTTCTGGGCGAGTGTCGCTTCATAGGCAGCCTCGGAAACATGCCCTTTTTCAAGGAGGTCCTTGTCGCGTTTTTCATCCGCCGCCTTGAGGGCCGCATCAGCCTTTGCACTGGCAAGATCCGCCTTCGCCTTGGTCAGCTGCGCTTCGTACTCGGCCTTCTCGATCGTGAACAGCAAATCGTCCTTCTTGACAAAGGAGCCGTCAGGAACAGCCTTGTTCTCGAGAAAACCACTGACGCGCGCCACAAGGTCAACTTGGTCAACAGCCGCGATCTGCCCGACAAATGTTTCGCTTTGGCGCACATCCTGAGATGCTACCTTGGCGACTGTGACTGATGGCGGAGGCGCTGCCGGGGCCTGGGCCTGCTTTGAATCGTCCGAACAGGCTGCGAGAAAGCTCAACGCAGTTGCTGCTAGAACGAAGCGGCGTGGAAATGGGGCAAAACGCAAAAATGGCATTCGAGAACTCCGCTGTCAGACCTGTGGGTCGCGCGTTTAATCGGAGTTCACTATAAAAGGACTGATTGATTCAACAAGCGAATTTTCTCGTTTGAAGCCTGTTCGCAGCCAAGAAAATTACCCTGCGTTTTCAATCCTCATGACCGGTTCGGTTCTTTTGCGGATGTTCTTTGTAACAGCCCGTCTACTGTTTGCTTTCAGGTGAAAGAATCAGTGTCAGTCCCAAAAATTGATTGGCCGGAAGGATCTTTGGCTCCACTACCTTGGCTGAAGTTATCTCGATAGCGGCAATCTGCGGCAATCTCCCTTGAAGCGCGTCAGCGGCATCCTCGCCAACCAGTGCCCGAAAAGCGTCCGGATTGAGGACAGAAATATCGCCTCTTGGTGTTTGAACCTCAAGTCCAAGGCTGGTCGCTCTCATTTCGCGTTGACCGGTAAAGCCGCCGAGGAATTCATGGTGGTCTGAGGGGTCGCCGGCGACCAGGAATACGGTCTTGATGTCCCGTGCTCCGTTTTCATGTTTTTGAAATGCCGGCTTCCAGAAGTTTTCCGGATACTTGTTGTGGCAGGTGAAATAGCCGATCCCCGGACAAAGCGGATCTTGAAGAATGGTAAGATCGAACGCAACTTTTGCGGTTTTTCCATCCGGCAGGTTGGCGACACGTTCAAAGGAGAACGGATCAAAGAGTTTCAATCCCGCCTTCTTGAAATCTTCCCGGTCCTGAACAGCATCATGGCTCTCCAGCACCAGCATGCTTGCCCCTTCCCGGTTTTTCAGGAAGTCCCTGTTGAAAGCGCCGAAAGAAAATGCCGTACCATTGGCCTCTGCAATCGCCTCCGGTTCCTTGACCGTCAGCAGTTCGATGAAAAACCCGTCGAGTTGAACAAGCCTGTTCGCAGTGCCCCAGGGATGCTGGTTCTCAGGCGTGACCGTAAATCCCATGGCCTCATAGGCCCGGCCGGCTGCCTCGAGATCGTTTACCGCAACGACGAGATGATCAAGGCCACGCACCATGGGTGTTCCTTTCGGGGTTCGAGCGTCAGACCAGACGGCTCTGCTGCAACGCTGCGCCGATAAAGGACGCGAACAAAGGATGCGGGTCGAATGGACGTGACTTCAGTTCCGGATGATATTGAACTCCGATGAACCAGGGATGATCCTCGATTTCGACTGTTTCAGGCAGAACACCGTCCGGCGAAGTTCCGGCAAAGATCAGGCCACAGTCTTCCAGTTTCTCACGGTAGCCGATATTGACCTCGTAGCGGTGCCGGTGACGCTCCGATATGTTTGTGGCCGCGTAGATATCCGCAATGCGGGACCCTTGCTTCAAAGCGGCGGGATAGGCTCCGAGCCGCATTGTGCCGCCAAGATCACCGTCTTTGTCGCGGACCTCCATTTCATTGCCTTTGGTCCACTCTGTCATCAGGCCGACCACGGGTTCAGTTGCTGGACCGAATTCGGTTGAATTTGCCTCTGAGATACCGGCCATGTTGCGTGCAGCTTCGAGAACGGCCATCTGCATTCCGAAACAGATGCCGAAATAAGGTATCTTGCGGGTGCGGGCAAAATGCGCGGCTGCGATCTTTCCTTCCGCGCCGCGTTCACCAAATCCACCAGGCACAAGAATGCCATGCACGCCTTCCAGATAAGGGCTCGGGTCTTCCTTCTCGAAAGTCTCCGATTCTATCCACTCCAGATTCACCTTGACCCTGTTGGCGATACCACCGTGTACCAAAGCCTCGATCAATGACTTGTAGGCATCTTTCAGAACCGTGTACTTGCCGACAATCGCTATTTTTACCTCTCCTTCCGGATTGGCAATAGCGGCAGAAATCCCTTCCCAACGATCCAGGACCGGCGTCGGGGACCCGGTCAATCCAAATGCGGCAAGGACTTCGTCGTCCAGCCCTTCCTGATGGTAGGCGATCGGCACGTCATAGATGGACTTGACATCATAGGCCGGAATAACGGCGCTTTCGCGCACGTTACAAAAAAGAGACAGCTTCCGTTTTTCCGTTTCCGGGATCGGCCGGTCGCAACGGATCATCAGGATATCAGGTTGAATGCCGATCGACCGTAGTTCCTTGACCGAGTGCTGTGTCGGCTTGGTCTTCATTTCACCGGCACTGGGTATGTAAGGCATCAGTGTCAGGTGCACATAGACTGCACTGCCGCGCGGAAGGTCGTTTCCGAGCTGACGAATCGCTTCAAAATACGGCAGTCCTTCGATATCGCCGACCGTGCCGCCAATTTCAACGAGCACGAAGTCGTAGTCCTCGTTGCCGGTCAGGACAAAATTCTTGATCGCGTCTGTGACATGCGGAATGACCTGAACCGTACCGCCGAGGTAATCTCCGCGCCGTTCCTTGGCGATTATGTCCTGATAAATGCGACCGGTGGTTATATTGTCCTGCTGGTTTGCCGGACGTCCCGTGAAGCGTTCATAGTGACCGAGATCGAGGTCCGTTTCCGCCCCGTCGTCGGTCACATAGCACTCTCCGTGCTGGTAGGGGCTCATCGTCCCCGGGTCCACGTTCAGATAAGGATCGAGCTTGCGCAAACGAACCTTGTAGCCCCGTGCCTGGAGCAATGCGCCCAAAGCAGCAGAAGCAAGACCTTTTCCAAGCGAGGAGACCACGCCGCCGGTAATGAAAATGTATCGCGCCATGGACCAATACCATATCCTTGCCGAGCGCCGTTTGGCCACTCGGGAGTTGCGTTCTTAACACATAAAAATGCCCTGCGAGGCAGGCCGCAGGGCAGATATCGATTGAAAGGCCCGGAGGCCGCCGGAGCCGCTTACTGTGCGGCCGGGACCTGTGGACCGGAAGGTTCGCTCTGCTGTTTCAGCGAATCAAGGATACCACCGGAGCCACCGGTCGTGCCCTCACCCGTGACCGGGGTGCCATCGGATGCCGCCGGCGAGGCGTCCAGAATCGAAGAGGGGCTGTCTTCGTTCTGCGCGATGAGGCTCAATGTGAGCGATGTGGCAAAGAAGGCCACAGCAAGAACTGCCGTCGCCCGCGTCAGAACATTTGCCGTTCCACGACTGGACATCAGTCCTCCGCCTCCGCCTCCGCCAATGCCGAGCGCTCCGCCTTCGGAGCGCTGCAGGAGGACAACAAGCACCAGGGCCAGGACGACCATAAGGTGGATTACGATGACTACGGTTTCCATCGAGCGCCATTCTGTATTGAATTCAGGTTTGGCGGCCTTCTACACCAGACGCCGCCAGCTTTCCACCCTTCAATTGAGCCTTCGTCACAGAAGCTTCAAGAGCCTCGTGATCACGAATAAGCGTCAAGGATGCCCAGGAAGTCTTCAGCCTTCAGGCTGGCACCACCGACAAGGGCCCCGTTGACATTGGAAACCGCCATGAGTTCAGCGGCATTCGCCGGCTTTACAGAGCCGCCATACAGAAGACGCATCGCTGCCCCGGCATCTGAGAACCTGCTCAACAGATTGTCGCGCATCGCCTTGTGCATTTCCTCAACATCCTGGGCAGTCGGCGTCAGGCCTGTCCCGATTGCCCAGACGGGTTCATAGGCAATGACCGTGTTTTCCGCTGTTGCTCCATCAGGTACGGAATTATTCAACTGACCTTGAACGATTGACACTGCCTGCCCTGCCTTGCGTTCGGCTTCTGTTTCACCAACGCAAACGATTGCGACCAGTCCGGCCCGCCACGCTGCTTGCGCCTTTGCGTTGACAACACCATCCCCTTCACCGTGATCGGTCCGGCGCTCCGAGTGACCGACAATCACGGCAGTGGCACCTGCATCCTTGAGCATCTCGGCAGAAATATCTCCGGTATGTGCGCCGGATTTTTCTCCGTGGCAGTCCTGGCCGCCAACCAAAATCGCGCTCCCTGCAGCGATGTCGGCCAGCGCCGGAATCAGCGTGGCCGGAGGGCAGATCATAATATTTGCGCTATCGGCCAGAGTATCGGTCAATCCCGCTTTCATTTTATGAAATTCGGCCTGGCTGGTCCTTAGACCGTTCATTTTCCAGTTCCCGGCCAGAAGCGGTTTGATCTTCACGCTCATTTGTCTTCATCTCCCGCTGATCAACATTGATTTTGCGCCTATAGAGCAGAAGCTTGCGTACGTTGCAATCACTCAAGGTCGTGGAAACCTGTTTCTGATCTGAACTTTATGCCGGGCCGCCTTGCGGCGAGGCTTCCACGTCATTATGATCCGCCCGCTCCGGTCGCGGCAGGTCCTTCGGCCTGACGTTGAGAAACGGCTGATGAAAAGAAAAGAACACGGGAGTCGTCATGCTTGACGCGCTGCGCAAAGGCGCCGGTACCTGGCTTGCCAAACTGTTTATCGCACTGTTGATTTTTAGTTTCGCCATTTGGGGCGTAACGGATTTTCTGCAGGGTTTCGGTCAGAACACGGCGGCCAAGGTAGGTGACACGGAAGTTTCGCTCCTTGAATTCGACCGCACCTACAGGCAGGACCTCAATCGGCTGTCGCAGCAGTTTCGCCGCCCGCTCACGCGCGAGGAAGGGGCTGCTCTTGGCGTTCCCCAGCAGGCATTGGGCAGGTTGGTCGCAGAAGCTGCGCTGAACAATACAGCTCAGGATCTGCAACTTGGCATTTCGGACAAGCGGCTGGCCGCTCTCATTCAGGCCGACCCTGCATTTCGCGGGCTCAGCGGCACATATGACCGCAGCAGACTGGATCAGGTCCTCCGGGCAAATGGTTATCAGGAAGACGAATATGTCGTGCAGCGCCGCAAGATAGCGGAACGAAATCAGCTCGCTGAAGCTCTCGCCGGCAACATGAACGCGCCAATCAGCTATCTCGAGGCCTTGTCTGCATATCAATCCGAGACCAGATCCGTAGATTTTCTTCTTGTAACTCCCGAATCTGTTGGCGAGATCGAAGATCCGTCGCCAGATATTCTCAACGCGTATTTTGAGGAGAACAAGGCTGGCTTCAGGGCACCGGAATACCGGGAAATCAAGTTTCTGGCGTTGACCCCGGAAACCCTTGCACGGCCCAAAGACGTTGTCGAAGAAGACGCCCGCGCCGAGTATGAACAAAGGGCATCGGACTATTACCAGCCTGAACGCCGCAAAGTTCTCCAAATGTCGTTCCCGTCCAAGGAGGCCGCGGAAGAGGCCGCCTCCGAATTGGCCGGCGGCAAGACATTCAGTGAGCTGATGAGCGAGCGCAACCTGACGAACAACGACGTCGCGCTCGGCGTAATGGCAAGAAACGACTTCCTGGACGAAACCCTCGGGAGTGCCGCATTCGCACTTGAAGAAGGCGCCTCGAGCGGTGCGGTTGAAGGCCGGTTTTCGACTGTCATCCTGAACGTTGAGGAAATTCTGCCGGAAAGCACTCGTCCTTTTGACGAGGTAAAGGACGAAATCATCCAGGCGCTCGCCACCGAGCAGGCCGAGCGCGAGATACTCGACCTGCTGGACGAAATCGAAGACGCGCGCGCCGGCGGGGCTCTGCTGGAGGAAATTGGCGAACGCTTTTCATTGCCGGTCGTGTCGGTTGAAGCATTCGACCAGAACGGGAAGTCCAGTTCCGGTGGCGATGTAGACCTGCCTGCTGCCGACGGACTAGTCGCCGGAACTTTTGAAAGCGACATCGGGATTGAAAATGATGTTCTGCAATTCGGAGAGCAGGGATTTCTCTGGTACGAAGTGGACAAGGTCATTCCTGAACGCGACCAGACGCTCGATGAAGTCAGGAACGAAGTTGTTTCAACCTGGAAATCAGACGAGATGACCAGGCGGCTGAACGAAACGGCGTCCGATTATCTGACCAAGCTGAACAACGGAACATCCTTTGAAAATCTTGCCGGGGAAACCGGACTGGAAGTGAGAACGGAAGAGAACATTGCTCGCAATGCCCCGTCCGGCTATTTCAGCCAGGAAGCAATTTCGCAGGTCTTTGGTGGTCCGGTCGGTACAAGTGCGGTGGCAAACTCGTCGGACGGGAACACTCGTCTGGTATTGAAAGTGTCCGCGGCCAATGTACCTGCCTTCGATGCCGCATCTCCGGCCATTGGGGCGCTCGACGAGCAGCTGTCTCAGCAGATGCGTGACTCTCTCATTGGTCAATTTATCACTGACCGCGAAAATGAAGCTGGCGTCGAGATCAACCAGGCAGGCGTTGCCCAGGTGATCGGCTTGACACAAAACTGATTCTGGTACGGATGAATAAACACCATGACTGTGTTCAAGGACCTCATAGCCAAAGTCGCTGATGGTCAGACACTGACACCGGATGAAGCCCGGCAGGCATTTGAAGTCATCCTCTCCGGGTCGGCCACACCGTCACAGCTGGGCGGCTTTCTGATGGCGCTGCGCGTGCGTGGTGAAAGCATCGCCGAAGTGACGGGCGCCGTTGCGACGATGCGTTCAAAGATGCTCACCGTCAAAGCACCGGCAGACGCAATCGACATTGTTGGCACCGGTGGAGACAGCTCGGGCAGTTACAACATCTCGACATGCACCGCAATCGTGGTTGCCGGTTGCGGTGTACCTGTGGCCAAGCACGGCAACAGATCCCTGTCTTCAAAGTCCGGGGCTGCAGAAGCTCTTTCCGAACTGGGCGTTAATATCGACATTGACCCGCAAAAGATTTCGCACTGTATCGACAAGGCAGGCATCGGTTTCATGTTTGCGCCACTTCATCACGCGGCGATGAAGCATGTTGGTCCGACCCGCATGGAGCTCGGAACACGGACAATTTTCAATCTGCTCGGGCCGCTCTCGAACCCGGCAGGTGTCAAGCGACAGATGGTCGGTGTCTTCGCAAGAAAATGGGTTGATCCCGTGGCACAGTCTCTCAAGGAGCTCGGTTCTGAAACAGCCTGGATTGTTCACGGGTCAGACGGCATGGACGAGATAACGACGACGGGTCCAACCTTTGTCAGCGAATTGAAAAATGGCCAGGTCCGGTCCTTTGAGATTTCACCTGCAGACGCAGGTCTGCCTCTTGCGAAGGCCGAAGAACTGAAAGGCGGCATGCCCGCGGAAAACGCGAGGGCGTTGCGCGACGTTCTTTCCGGTACGAAGAACGCTTATCGCGACATCGTGCTTTTCAATTCTGCAGCTTCACTCCTGGTCGCCGGCAAGGTCGGTAGTCTGAGCGATGGGGTTGAAATGGCCGCCTCAAGCATCGACAACGGTTCGGCGGCCGACACCCTGGAAAAGCTGGTCGCAGCGTCGAACGGATAGGGCCATGGCTGACATTCTCCAGAAAATCGAAGCGTACAAGCGCGAGGAAATTGCGGCAGCGAAGATTGCCGTGCCGCTTGACGATCTCAAGAGCCGGATTGCGGACCAATCTCCTCCCCGCGGTTTTCAGGCTGCCATCGAGGCAAAAACCGGTGCTGGCGAATATGCTCTCATCGCAGAAATCAAGAAGGCCAGTCCTTCAAAGGGCTTGATCCGTGCCGACTTTGATCCGCCCCTTCTGGCGAAAGCCTATGAGCAAGGCGGAGCTGCTTGCCTGTCGGTGCTGACAGACGCCCCTTCCTTCCAGGGAAAGTCTGAATTTCTGACAGCTGCAAGGAATGCCGTATCTCTTCCGGCACTCCGCAAGGACTTCCTCTATGATCCCTATCAGGTCTTTGAGGCACGGGCATGGGGTGGCGACTGCATCCTGATTATCCTGGCAGCTGTCGACGACGACACCGCACGAGCCCTGGAAGAGACTGCATTCGGCCTCGGAATGGATGTCCTGCTGGAGGTACACGATCAGCAGGAGTTGGAGCGGGCACTCAAACTGACCTCGCGGCTTTTAGGCATCAATAATCGTAACCTGAAGACCTTTGAAACCAGGCTTGAGACCAGCGAGGAACTGGCGTCTCTGGTTCCCTCAGAGCGTATCATTGTCGGCGAATCCGGCCTGTTCACGCCGACGGACCTTGAACGGATGAACAAGGTCGGAATAACGACTTTCCTGATTGGCGAAAGCCTGATGAGACAGGACGATGTTGCTGGAGCGACCAGAAGCCTGCTCGCGCGATCATCTTTGCCCGAAGCGGTTTGACATCCATGTCAGATAAAGACCCCAAGCTCACGCATCTGGATGAAGCAGGTGCCGCCAATATGGTCGATGTCTCGCAGAAAGAAGCGACACACCGGACTGCGGTTGCACGCGGAACTGTCTCGATGCGGGTCGAAACGCTTGAACTCATTCGCTCCGGCAACGCAAAAAAGGGCGACGTGATCGGCACGGCGAGGATTGCCGGCATTCTGGCGGCAAAAAGAACTCACGAACTGATACCGCTCTGTCATCCTCTGATGCTGTCGAAGGTCAAGGTCGATATCGAGGTTGACGACCACCTGCCTGGCCTTGTTGTTACGGCAACCACGAAGGTAAGCGGACAGACCGGCGTCGAGATGGAGGCTCTCACCGCCTGTTCCCTCGCCTGTCTGACGATTTACGACATGGCAAAGGCGGTCGACCGCGGCATGGTGATTGGCGACATCCGGCTGGTTGAAAAGGCTGGTGGAAAGTCTGGTCACTGGACGCTTGAAAAAGATGGCAGCGAAGGCGGAACCTGATGAGCTTGATGCCGGTCGCCGAGGCACTTGAAAAACTTCTCTCCGATGTCGATGCACTCGATACCGAATTTGCGGGGCTTGATCAGGCAAACGGGCGTGCCCTGGCGGAAAATCTCCTTTCCAGGCGCACACAGCCACCTTTTGCAGCCTCTGCGATGGACGGGTACGCAATTCGTCACCTTGATGTTGCCGGCGGCGGAGCGCAGCTGGAAGTTATTGGTGAAGCACCTGCAGGTCATGGCTACACCGGCTCCGTCGGCATCGGCCAGGCGGTTCGTATCTTTACCGGGGCACCGTTGCCGGACGGAGCTGACACGATCCTCATCCAGGAAAACGCAAACCGGCAGGAGAGCTGGATTTCCGTCCTTGCAATTCCGGACAAGGGGGCATTCGTGCGTCCTGCCGGACTTGATTTTCAAAAGGACCAGGTCCTTCTGGCTCCGCCTTTGAAACTGACTTACCGGCACTTGGCGCTGGCCGCGGCCATGAACTATCCGCTGATACCGGTCGTGAGACGGCCGAAAGTGGCAATCCTTGCGACAGGTGATGAACTTGTCCGCCCCGGCGATGAACCGGGACCGGACCAGATCATCGCGTCAAATCATGCCGGCATCGCAGCCATGGTCGAAGACTGTGGCGGGATTCCCCTGGACCTTGGTATCTCTCCGGATGACCCGGTTGAACTTGCCAGTCATGTACGCAGGGCCATAACGGCAAGGGCTGACATCCTGGTGACACTTGGCGGCGCGTCGGTCGGAGACCACGATCTGGTTCAGGAAGTGCTCGGGCAGCAGGGTATGGATCTTGCCTTCTGGCGCATTGCGATGCGCCCGGGCAAGCCGCTCATGGCAGGCAAACTTGGAACAACCAAGGTTCTTGGGCTTCCCGGGAACCCGGTTTCAAGTCTCGTCTGCGGACTGTTGTTCCTGAAACCGCTCCTCCAGAAAATGCTTGGCTACAGGGCCGACACAACGGCCCCCAAACAGGCAATTCTCGGACAAGACATTCCGGAAAACGACAGGCGTCAGGACTACATTCGCGCAACACTGCACGAAGACCCGGACGGCAGGCTTGTTGCGACACCGTTCACCAAGCAGGACAGCTCCATGCTTGCACTGCTTGCGAAGTCGGGAGCCCTGATCATCAGGCCACCACACGCACCTGCGCAAAGTGCCGGCTCGGGAACTGAGGTACTCGTCCTTTAGAAATCGAAGAGGCAAACGGAAGCGGTTGGCTTCGCCAACGATCGACAGGCGGGAAATTCCCGCAAATCACCGCTCCCGCATTGCGTGCGCTATCTGATCCGTAACCGGCTTGACGAGATAGCTCAGGATCGTTCGATCACCCGTTTGAAGAAATGTCTCGACAGGCATTCCGGGAACCAGTGTCTGCGTTCCCAGTTTTTCCAGTTCCTTGTCGGCGATGATGAGCTTTGCCGTGTAATAGCTCATTCCGGTTCGCTCGTCTTCAGTCAGGTCGGCAGAAACCGTCAACAGTTTTGCACTCAGTTCCGGAGTTGTTCTCTGGTCGAAACTCGGGAACCGGATTCTCGCTTCCTGACCGGGTGCCAGCTGATCGATATCGACCGGTTGAACCTGGGCTTCGATAATCAGCTGGTCTTCGCGTGGAACGATGTGCATCACGGTCTCGCCGGGTGCGATTACACCGCCGATCGTGTGTACGGAAAGCTGATGCACAAAACCACCCCGCGGTGCGACGATGTCGACCCGGGTCAATTCGTCTTCTGCGGCGATCTTCTGCTCTTCCAGCTGAGCAATGCGCGAACGGGCCTCCTGCAGCTGTTCCAGAACTTCCGCCCGATAGGATTCCTCGATCTGGAGCATCTGGATCTGGCGCTCGCTGATAGCCTCCTTTGTTCGCGCAATCTGCGCGATCAGGTCACCATACTCGCCTTGCAGGCGCGCTTTTTCACGTTGAACAGCCGTAACACGGCTTTTTGGAACAAGATTTTTTTTCAGCAGTCCTTCAAGGTCAACAAGCTCTTCTGCGATAAGCTCGATCTCGGTGTCCTTGGCTGAAACCTGCGCATCAAGTCCACGTGTCTGCTGGTTGAACTGCCGGATCTGCTCTTGTAGCTGGTTCTTCCGGCCGTCCTTGGATTTTTGCCGGGCTTCCAGCAGCAATTGCTGGCCGCGCTCGATATCTCCCAGCGTTTCAATGCGGTCTCCGGACCATGAAATCGCCTGTTTGTCATCCCGTTCCGCTTCCAGGCGAAGCTCCTGCGCCGTCAGCTCCCTCAGCTGTTTGGTAATGACGGCAAGGTTGGCCCTCGTGACGGTATCATCAAGGCTGATCAGAAGATCGCCGGATTTGACGACATCGCCATCCTTGACCTTGATTTCGCTGACGATCCCGCCCTCGCGATGCTGAACCTCCTTGATATTTCCCTCAACGACCACCGTGCCGGAGGAAACCACCGCACCCGAAATCTCCATGAATGTCGCCCAGCCACCGATGCCAACGACCACGAACATCGTGACCAGCACCGCAAAATGAAGATGACTGCGAACCGTCTTGCTCAGGGCCTCATCCGCCGGGTTGCTCGGCGACGCATCGTTCTGGGTGTTCGCATTACTCATTGGGCAGCTCCTACTCCCTGGCGTACA